TGTAACAAGAATCCATTCATTTATTACCTTCATTATAATAATAATAAACTATGCAAAATTTATCTGGCAAAAATAGTAAAAATGTTAATACTTTTGTGAATCAGAAATTTCTAGAAGGGTGTACACACTATCAAAGGAATGGTTATTTGTTTTCATATATCAAAACCCTTAAATGCACCCTACAGATGAAAACAGTATTAGTCTTTAAGTTTAGTAGCTTCTTTCATAAACATGGATAATTAGTAGCAAACTTACGACTCAATTCCTAAGGGAAATTCCTGGCTCATAGCTATTGTGGCTTTAAACGTTTTCTTACCCTCTTTGCACACTAGTTCTCTACCCAGATGAGGAGCTCTATAATGGAAAAAAAAGAGAAATATTAGGGTGCTTTTCCATATGCTATCATCTTCCTAAAGAATAATCTATCATTTTCCAATGGCAGTCATTAATCTTTCTTATTCTGTGTATAGAAATAAAATTATGCTAAAAAAGAATTAGACATGTATGAGAAATAAGATAAAAGTAACAAAAATAAGAAAATAGTAAAGTGTAAAAAGTCAGGAAAAAAACTTTAAAATTCAACTACTTTCAAAAAGAAAATAATTTTAATAATCACTTTAAGAAAAAGCAAATTGCTAGAAATAGAGATTTTAAAAATACCACTGTATATCTTCATAATCATTTATTCAATTCAAAGTCATATACTGTCTATAATCTCAGCACTGAGCAATAAGAAGTGAGATGGAAAAAAAAAAAAGAATCAGAGATGAATTCCAATCATATTAACCGTAGAATATTACAAAAAATATTTTGGAGAAGACAGAAAAATGAACCTTTAGAAAACAAAATAATCATGACAACTTCCTAAACATGGGGGTTAGGTAACACTTGATTCTCCACCAGAAGGAAATAGTATTTTCTAGAAAGTTCTGTACTTCCCTTGACATGCTAGCTAGAATTTTTTATTTACTCTTTCATTCAAAATAAACACTTTATTCATTCATGGTCCTTTCATTAAAAACATATTCACTGAACATAAACTATGTGCTAGGCACTCCACTAAGTATTAGTAACACAACACTGAGCAAAGGTCCTATGGTAGGATGGTGAGAAATTGTGTGGTAGAAGCAGAAGTAGATATAGGGTTTGTATGGGCTTAGAAAGGCAAATAGATGACAAATAGTGAATGGCCTTACACACCAGTTCAAGATTCAGGATAATCACAGTATACAAGAGTTTATCACAAATGGAAGATTTCAAAGAAGCAACTACATTGGCTAATTCCTATTACATTTCCTTAGAACAGTGTGTATGTAACTTCGTATGTGTAAACTAGCAAGAGAATAAAAAGCAGGCTCTCCAACCATACTCAAAAGGTACACATATTTGGGATACCATCTTCCTCATGCATACCATAATTTTGAAAGGTCTTAAAAAACTGGTTAAGCCAAAATATACTCATTTTACCTTAAAAATAATTACATGTATAAATTAATATATAAGTGAATTTATAAACATGATAAGTGATTACAAATTGTTCTTTCTAAAAAACAAACCATATATAGAAAACAAGAACACACTTACTTTCCATTTTCAGCAGATATATATTCTTCCCATGTAATAGTGTTCTGTGGAGGAGGGGTAAGGGACTGTCTTCGAACTGGCTGCCAAAAGAGAAAAATGTTTCATCTTTAAAAATATAAATTGCAAACATAAATAAACTATTTAGACTAGTACTTAATCTCTTTTAGGTTCCCTGCAGGATTTAACAATACTTGTAACATTTCTCAAGCTGAAAAAACTGAAAAAAAATTCAAACATCAAGTTGCAATACTAAAGGAGTCTATGGCCAAAATGTTGACTGATGTAGGAAGCATCAAAAGAAGATGGAAAGAATATAAAGTGTCACGGTACCGAAAGAACTGGGTGATATTCAACATTTCAGGAAGTAGCATATGCTCAAGAACTGACAGTATTTCAGGAAGAATTCAAAGCTGCACTGAAGGCACTGGTGAAAAACAAGGCTCCAGGAATTGAAGGAATACCCACTGAGATGTTACAACAATGGATGCAACACTGGAGGAGCTCACTTGTGTATGCCAAGAAGACTGGAAGACAGTTACCTTGCTAGCTGACAGGCAGAGGTCCATATTCGTGCACATTCCAAAGAAAAATGATTCCCAAATATACAGAAATTATCAAACAATACCATTAAAATCACATGCAAGTAACATTCTGCTGATGACAGATAGTTCAAAAAACAGCTGCAGCACTGTAAGAACAGGCAATAGCCAGAAATTCAAACCGAGTTCTGAGAAGAATGTGGGGGCTCTGTGGCATAGTACCTAAGGCATTGGACTGCTAACCTGAAGGCTGGCAGTTCAAACCCACCAGCCACTCCTTAGAAGGAAGGTTGGGCAAGCTAATTCCATAGTGATACTGTCTCAGAAACCCAAGGAGGGGTCGCTACGAGTCAGATCCAACTCGATGGCAGTGAGGTTTTTTTTTTTTTTTTTTCAGAGAAGAATGTAGAAAAGAATATCATCATTGCTTATGTGAGATAGATCTTGGCTGAAAGCAAAGAATACCAGAAAGTTGTTTCCCTGTGTTTCATTGACTATGCAAAGGCATTCCACTGTGTGAATCATAACAAATTATGGTTAACACTGCAAAGAATGGAATTCCCGAACACGTTTGTGTTCATGAGGAACCTATACACAGATCAAGAGGCAATTGTTGGAATAGAACAAGGGAATACTGCATGGTTTAAAATCAAGAATGGTATGCGTTAGGGTTGCATCCTTTCACCAAACGTATTCAATTTATATGCTAAGCAAATAATCTTCAGAAGCTGGACTATGTGAAGAAGGATGTAGCATCAGGAATGCAGGACGACTCATTAACAACCTGTGACATGCACATGACACAACCATACTTACTGAAAATGAAGAGGGCTTGAAGCACTTACTGATGAAGATCAAAGAGTACAGGCTTCATTATGGATAAATATAAACAAACATACAGAAAACAAAAGTCCTCAAAATTGGACCGTTAAGCAACATCATGATAAATAGAGAAAAGGTTGAAGTTGTTATCCAAAACAGTTTTGTTTATCCTTCTGGCAGTCCATGGTAAATTCAGTATTATCTACCAACACAATAATTCAAAGTCCATCAATTTTTCTTCAGTCTAATTTATTCATTGACAAGTTTTCCTATGTATATGAAGCAAATTAAAATATCATCACGTGGGTCAGGCCTTCTCCTTCAAAGTGACATTTTTTGTTTTTAACACTTTAAAAGAGGCCTTTTGCAGCAGATCTACCACATGCAATAAATAGATTTTTTATTTTTTGACTGCCGCTCTCATGGGCACTGATTGTGGATCCAAGTAAAATGAAATCCTTGACAATTTTGATCTTTTCTACATTTATCAAGATGTTGCTTATTGGTCCAGTTCTGAGGATTTGTTTTACGTTAAGATATAAAATACACATTCCTCACCTTAATAAAGAAATTTTAATTAATATATAATAAAAGCATAAAAGACGGAATATGTGTAAGGTAGAAAATTGTCAGAGAAGGAAACTCAAATATTTTCCAATAAATCACATGCTAGGAAAACAGTAAGACCACACCCTGTTAAGACTCCAGTGGCACAGTAGGTAAGGCAAATGGCTACAAACCAGAAGGTCAGCGGTTCAAACCCACCAGCCACTCCATGGAAAAAAGATGGGGTGATCTACTCCCATAAAGATTTACAGCCTTGGAAACCCAATAGGGGTCACTATGAATCAGAATCAACTCGATGGCAATGAGTTTGGGTTTTTTGAGTTTTACACCCTGTCAAAGGGGGAAAATTTGCAAAACGTGGAAAAACAAAGCAGTCCCATCAATTTCTAGCTAGGTTTCACTGTAATTAACCATTTACTGAACACTTTACCTTATAATTATGAAATATCAATTATTACACTAAATAATGTTTTTTCTAATTTATATTTATTCCACATTATCCTTTATTATATAATAAAACTTCAGCCTGAATCTTCCTGTGTCATATCTACACTGGTATCACTGCTATCTAATGAAAGAGGAAGACGTGAAGATTGCCAAAGATCACCAGGTAGCTTTCTAACTTTACTTCCCAAGTCAACAGGCTCTGGTACTGAAATGCTATTATGCCTACGCTTCATAAGGAAATTTAAAAATTTTGATGACTATTTTCCTGGAAGTTAAGAGGATATGCTTTTCTGTTCATTGCTGTTTGTCATTATTCTAGTACTGTAGATGACAGAAGTTTCTGGAAGTTTGAAACATTCATGTATAATGAAAATCATAAAATCACTCACAAGGTTTAATTCAATATTCAGTATAACTGGTACAAAATAAAGGCTTTTATCAATGATTTACACATCTAAGGTATAAATGGGGCATTATTCTCTCCTCCAATTGATTACAACAATAAGAAAAAAAAATGTCAAAAATGTAGCAAATACACATGACTTAAGACAATTTGTAAGTACTTAAATTAACCTATTACAACATCTTGTTAAAAATATATAGTAAATATTAGAACTGCTCACCACCACTCATCCATCTGTCAGTATGTCATACTATGGTGGCTTGCGTGTTGTTCTGATACTGGAAACTATGCCACTGGTATTTCAGATACCAGCAGGCTCACCCATTATGGAGAGGTTTCAGCAGAGCTTACAGAATGAAGAGAAAATAAGAAGGACCTGGTAATCTACTTCTAAAATAATTGGCAAGTGAAAACCTTATGAATTCATAACAATCAAATATTGTCTGATACAGTGCTGGAAGATGAGCTGCTTAGGTTGGAAGGCACTTAAAATATGATGGGGAAAAGAGGCCTTCTCAAAGAAGAGGTGACTGTAATGACATTAATGGAATAAAGCTTTCAAGACTTTCATTTGCTGATTGTGGCATGATTCAAAATGAGAAGAAATAACTGTAAACATCCCATAAGTAATTGTAATCTGGAACACGTGAAGTATGAATCTAGGAAAACTGGAAGTTGTTAAAAATGAAATGGAATGATTGAAGATTGATAACCAAGGTATTAGTGAACTGACAAGGACTGGTATTGGTCATTTTGAATCAGACAATTTACTGTGATCTCCTAAAACAGGAATGACAAATTGAAGAGGGGGCACTGCATTCACTGTCAAAAGGAACATTTCAAGATCCTTCAGTACAATGCTGTCAGTGACAGGATGATATCCATATGTGTACAAGGAAGAAAAGTTAATACAACTTATTATTCAAATTCATGCACCAACCACTAGTGCCAAACTTAAATCAACTGAAGATTTTGTTTACCAACTTCTGCAGTCTGAAATTGACCGAACATGCAATCAAAATGTATTGATAATTATTGGTGATTAGAAAGCAAAAGTTGGAAACAAAGAAGGATCAGTGATTAGAAAATATAGCCTTGGTGATAGAAAGGACACTGGAGGTTGAGTAACAGAATTTTGCAAGACTAACAACTTATTCATTGCAAATATCTCTTCTCAATAACATAAAGGGTAACGATACACAAGCAATCAAATTGACCCTATCTGTGGACAAAGACAATAGAGAAGCTCACTATCATCAATCAGAAAAAGGCCAGTGGACAACTATGGAACAGATCATCAGTTGCTCATATGCATGTTCAAGTTGAAGCTGAAAAAAATTAAAAGTAAAGGAGAGCCAAAGTACGACCTTAAGTATATCCCACCTGAATTTAGAGATCATCTGAAGAACAGATTTGATACACTGAAAGCTAATGACTGCAGAACAGATGAGCTGTGGAGTGACATCAAAACACATCATACTTCAAGAAAGCAAAGGGTCACTAAAAACAGAAGAAAAGAGATATCAGAAAAAACTTTGAAACTTGCTCTTGAATGGAGAGTAGCTGAAGTGAATGGAAGAACTGATGAAGTAAAAAGCTGAACAAAAGATTCCAAAGGGCAGCTTGAGAAGACAAAGGAAAGTATTACAATGAAATGAGAAAAGACCTGGAACTAGAAAACCAGAAGGGAAGAAGACACTCAGCATTTCTCAAGCTGAAAGAATTGAAGAAAAAATTCAAGCCTTGAGGTGCAATATTAAAGAATTCTATGAGCAAAACACTGAAAAATGCACAAAGCATCAAAAGAAGATGGAAGGCATACACATAGTCACTACCAAAAAGAACTAGTTGATGTTCAATCATTTCAGAAGGTAGCACATGATCAATAACCAATGGAGTTGAATAAAGAAATTTAAGTTGCACTGAAAGCACTGATGAAAAACAAGGCTCCAGGAATTCATGGATTACGAATTAAGATGTTTCAACAGATGCAACACTGGAAGTGGTCATTCATCTATATCAAGAAATTTGGAAGACAGCAAGCTGACCAACTGACAATTCAAAGAAAAATGATCCAACAGAAGGCAGGAATTATTGAACAATATCATTAATATCTCATGTAAGTAAAATTTTGCTGAAGAATTCAAACATGGTTACAGCAGTACATCAATAGTAAACTGGCAGAAATTCAGGCCGCATTCAGAGGAATATGTGGAGCAAGGATTATCATTGATGTCAGAAGGATCTTGGGGGCTTTTTAACCATGATAGCCTCTTGGTCTATATACAGGTTCCTCATGAGC